AGAGAAAGGGGACAGCATTCAATCACAGTCTTTGCGTCCAGTATCTAGTTAAGACTCTTCCCGGCATTGTGGCCAGCAGCGCGGACGCCACTGAACGGAGAACTGTTGGCTTTGATGTGTGGTAACGGCCCGCATAACCTTGAGCTAAAAATATCCGGTCTATATATGTTTGATATGTAAATGAGGGCCCCTCTCTCTCCACCAGCAGCCTCCGCTGTATCTGGGCCCCTCCAGACGCGGCCCAAGCTATGTGTCCTCCTGCCCCGGGGAAACAGCTACCTGATCCGGACGGCAGTGGATGTGGCAAGCGGGCCGGCCCTGTGGATCGGCCCTCCGTTGAGGTCGCATGCCGAGGAAGCGAAATGCCTTCCGTCCGATGATATTGCACCTGCTCTCCAGCAGGCCGCAGCCATGGACCCCCCGGTGTGGTTTGCTTAAGCCCATAGTACTGGCGGTTTGGGAAAATAGAATACATTATAAATACGATAAAATAATTAGGCTATGTACGCGACCGTCGATCCTCCGCCCCTATACTTGCCGTCTCCTTCCATGTTTGTTCTGCATTGTCGCAGCGGGCCGCCCGATGCTGCTGGCCTGGCCTCGGGCGCATTGATAGGTGATGTCTCCTTGGGAAGAGGCTCTCCTGCTGTTCAGATGGGCAGCTGAGCCTGAGCTCGCGGCGTGACCGATCGACTTTGTGGGGGTTTGATTGTCTCGCGTCTGCATTGAGCAATGAGGACTGCACTGCGTCCAAAGCATGACGCGCACCCGATTTTGCTCTCAGGAGGTAGAGAAGTCAGCGTCGTATATCACCAAATAAGCTACAGAAGAGTGAGGAATCTGGTGTGACATAGTTTCGTGTTGTGAGTCTGAGCTGCAGTTCACTGTGCAATGCGCGTGTTGGGACGGTGGGGGGTGAGTGGAGATGAAAATACGAAGCCGCTGAAGCGGCAGAACCGTGAATATTTTGCGCTGGGTGGATACTAAGATAATGGCGCAGCATGTTAGTAGGGATACGAGAGTGATGCGAAGCAATTTGA